ATTATGCGCGAGAAGTAGAGGTACCAGACGTTCTGCGCGAAGATTACCAGCAGCCAGCCGAGAATGTAGAAGAGGGAGCTCATAAGGAGGCAGAGCTTCCGACCGCAGCTGAAAAGAATTGGCAATATTTAGGAGTCCGCGTGGTTAATGCCCCCTCGTGGTTAATGTCGTGCTGGAACGGCGGCGAGGATCGTCGAGGGAAGAAGGGGAGCCGCTGGTGGGAGGGTCGTGGAGTGCGATGACGCGAGGTCCGAGTCCATTTGCTTTTCGATCAGAAATGAATTTGGAAACCAAAAGTTTGGCTTTGTTTGTTCGCTGTGTGTTTGTCGGTTATTTATTTTGTTCATTGTTTTTTATTTTAAGCGCGAGTTACGATTAAAGAAATCGCTCGTCTTTAACGATATTTAACGGTTATACAGAGATTATTAAATACGAAAACCGTGAAGGGGTTGAATTAGTTGGGCAGTCGATGAATTTTCGAATAACGAGCGATTTTATCTTTCGACTAATTTATAAAGAAAATTTTTTAATCGCGTTTAAATGCAAAGGGGATCGGCTTTAACTTGACTTGAATTTTATCTATAATCTCGCCCCACCCTACCCCGTCCAACGCCCCATACCCCCAATAGGACCAATAGTGTATTCGTCAACTTTAATTTATGTATAACGTGTTTAATGGCATTTTCAAATCCTGTTCAACATACCATAATTGCCCCAATGTATTAGTGTATTCGGTATATTATCCAAGGCAAACATGTCGTCGTAGTCGTTAATTTTCAATGTCAATGTGAATTCTATTTGATATTTTCCGGCATGCAAAATTAATGTAGCGGGGAAAATTTAAAAAACCTTTCCCTGATAATAGAATATCGTCGGTATTTTTCTTGAATTCCTCTCCACCGCCCTCCTCAATCGCCCACCCCACTTCTACCCCCGCCACCCCCGACCACCAACCACCATTCTTCGAAATCGCACGAATGATTTTAAAACATGCAGTTGTTTGGAATATCAACTTTTTCATAAAATACAATGCTGCATTTCGCGTGATTTAAACGCATTTATCAAAATGCCGATGCATTTGTGCCAATTTGTTAATATTAATGTGCGAAAGTCAAGGACTTCCTCGGTATACATATGAAATTGCCACGGCGCGTTCCATGCTTTATGCTCGTGACTCATCATCTGGACAACGAATCATCTTCCTTTGGGAAGGATTTTTTTATTATTAAGAAAAAGCATTTATATTTACGAAGCAGCGACGTAAGCGCCGTAAAATGGTCCGATCATTGATCCTATCACAGTCAAAGAAATAACCCATGACGACTCGTCCATCGAGATGTGCACGGGCACGTCCTCCGTTGCGTTAGTCAGACGTGAAATAATCGTGGTGGTCCATCCATAAACTGAGCCGGCGGCTACCATTGACAGCGTCGCTGGGCAAATAAAAATCAACAAGGAAAGGCATTAATTTACAGTCACTGCCACATTCGCAATTAGTTGGTGCATTTTTCATTCGACACTCTTACTCGTCCTGCACCCCGCTGCTGCTGCCCTTGTAATTATCATTTCTCAAATAGGCAAGATATTTCCGTGCGCCCGGAAGAAAAAAATACGCGCATTCCCCCGATCCGAAAAAATACAAACAAAAAAAAGCATTAAAATTGATAAAAACAGATGGTATTCACTTTATTATTTGGATGCTCGATAAATATTATCCTCTAAGAGCCCGACAATTCATTTACCTTTAAAAATGTCTTCCTGTTAATACTCTTGTCTTAATACACACCGCTAAATAATTAATCACACAGCGATCGTGGGAGTATGAATTTTAAGAAGTACGCAGGTGATACATTGTACGAGCAAATTAAAAACACAAAATAAGAAAATAGGAACGTGTTAAATGAAAATATGAGGTGGAAACCTTCGCCGGCCCGACGAGCCACTCGAGTCGCGGCGAGTCGCGAACCCACCACCAGACGCAAGAGGTTCTGGAGCATATCGAGGTACACCCAGTCAAGAGACACCTAGACCACGAAGTCTCCTGGTCCCGCACCGACCCGAACGGCCGCATCGTCAAAGCGTGGCCAGCAAAAACGTGGTAAGTCAAGTGCAATGGAAACATAATGGTTTGGTAGGTGAGAAGTGCGGCGGGGCGTTGAATGTCGTTGTCGAAGAAATGAACGAGTTGTGGTGCGAGAGTGCGACAAAAGATCGGGGTCGTCATATCGAAATAGCGGCGGAACACGAGTGGATATAGGGGGCAGGAGGGGGCGCGGGAGGCGCGCACTCCCGCTTTATCCCACTGGGCGTTCGCATTCGGGGAGGCCATTTCAAGGAAACATTTCGAGGCGCATCGCGTGTCTATTTGCGCGCGCACACGCGTGCTGACTTGCCAATGCACAACACGACGGTTGGGCACGCGCTCGTGTCTGTGCGTGAGAAGGTGAGTCTGTAGGTATTCGTAAGCTGCTAGCCATTACAACTTTTTGTCTACGAAAGAGTCTTACGACCTATTGTAAACTCGTTGCCGATTCGCACCAATTGCTTTGATTTTTTTTTTGCATTTTATGCTTTTTAACCCGTCGTGTGGGAGACGGACGGAGGCTGCAAGGTGGCGCGAAAGATTTACGCGGATGTACATTATTGTTTTGTTTTTGTTTTTTATTTTTTTCGTACATTGTATTTTTTCAGGCGTGTGCAGAGGTTTTATTAGGTGCTTCACATTGTTATTGTTTGAATTAGCCGTTTTTACGGCGTGTGACAGCTATAATTGTTTATGGCTACTTTTTATGATTACAAAGGAATGGCGCGTCGAGAGCTTAATAAAAGTTCACTATAATTTACGCCGTTTAAACGTAAAAGTTTTTTATGGAGGTTCTCGACCCTCTCCACCGCCGTGCCACACCGACCCCTCTCGACGCCCACTCGGACATTCTCCTTCGTGTCCTAGCACCGTTGTTTTATTTATAATTCCAATTTTTTTAGATTAATTATAAGGAAACGAGCATTTTGCGCATTCAATTAACGCGAGGATTGTATAACAAATGCGAAATGCAATATGAAAAACAAGGTTGAGCTACGGGGTATAAAAATACAGAGGCAAAAATACAGCAGAGAAAAGAATTTTCAACTCGTGGATTATTTTTAAAAATTGTACATTTTTTTCGAAATATTAGTGTATTCATATTAATAAATTTTTATTATTGTAAAAATATATATTTATATGTTTGTAAACTAATGTATATATATATATATATATATATATATATATATAAAATAAATATGTACCAACATTAGATCTATAATAACAAAATCCTCGTAATTTCAGATTTATATATATATATATATATATATATAATCTATAATAATATATATATAAATCTTTATATATATATATATATATATATATAAAGATCTAATGTTGGTACATATTTTATCTTCTCTTGGATGTATTGAAATCGTGAATGATATTAGCTAAAAATATACGTTAATATAACGATACGTTATAGTAATCGGTGATGTATTTATTTTAAAGGCTTCTATTTTTTTATGTTTTTTTTTGCCAATAAAAATATTATAAGCATCTTAACTCTACTACTTCACGATTTAAAATTTTATTTAGAGAGATATCTGTATAACTCAAATGTCAAAATGCAGATAAAAATTTTGAGCATCAAATTATTCTTTAGAAAGCAGAGAGTGAGAGAGAGAGAGAGAGAGTTTAATACCGATGCCAAACATAAAGTGACGAGCAAATTTGTAAGCCCTCGAGTTTAAATAAAAATAGAAAAATGTTTGATTTCAATTGTACGTCGATTACCTCGCAACTGCCGCAGCATACGATTTAAATCGAAATTATTGTCTTTGTTACTCGGATGATGTATTAATGAGAAATTCCATGGAAAATGAGAATTTTAGATGCAAAGTTTAACGGAATATGAGCTAAAACTGCTTTACCAGAAATACACGCCGCCCATTGTTTCCATTGAGTTCTTTGGCTCCTGGATTGTATTTTGGCAGCTTCCATCTCCTGTGCCTTCGTCGTCTCCTTCAGTTCGTTTAACTGAAACAATTACTATATTTATAAAGAAATGAATGGTTAACGGCGTTATTAGAAAGTGCAATGGCAATATTGTTCAATCGAATAATTATTATAATCTTGAATGATAATATCGAATAAAATGACATCAAAACAACAAACTAAATATTGTTCACTATGCGATAAAGTTTTATTATTAATTCATCGATTCTCGTGTGAAGAATATTCACCGGTAACGTATTAATCATTCGTTAATGGCTTTGCCATGTTAAATTGCTCCTTAATACGTAGCAGCTTTAACGAAGACACGTTTGGGTTGTATGTTTCGTAAATTGTCAATCAAGTTCCTACAATTAATCATGCATAAAGTAATAGAAGCTAGCTTAATCATTCACATCGTCTCAAAACTTGATTACTTCGGTATTTGCAATATACAGATCAAATAGAAAATTCGACTTGAAGATTTTGCAAAATGTTGTCTACGACGATCGATGACAATTGCAATACAGAGTTGCAACAGAGTCGACAATGTACCATAAGTGCAAAATAATAATTAAAACATAAAACAATTGTGCATAAATCGAGGGAGGATAATGTGAATCTACTTTTGTTCAACCTTTGACTTCATCGTACAAAACTTGGTATTTGATATCTACAAAGTCCAGCTCGCGTCACGTGTTGCCATTCTCTTGAAACAGGAGAACCGTAAATAAAACGAATTTTCAAGTTTCTATTTACCAGGCATCGTGTTAATGCGCGAACCTCTAAAAATTCGTGTGTTGCTTTTATTTCAATTTCATTTCAACTTTTGTAAGACTTACTTATAAAGTAGGTTTATTTATAAGAGAAATTATTTATATTATTAACAAATTATTAACAAAGGGTAATCAAAGGAATAGTTTCAGCAGCGGATCTCTTTGCGACTATTAATTGTCGTAACATTTATTTATGCTACTAGCAATTATTATTGATATTTAATTATTATTTATCACTGGCGCCTATAGTTTTTACACCCGCAATGGTTATATCAATTTCCTTATTAATATCGCTCCAACTTCATTGAAAGTTTTGTAATTTGATTTACTAAATTTTGATTATTCTATTTTATGGATCATTATACAAACGAACGTTCCTACGGGGAAATTAATATATAAAACCATTTGTTTACGTTTTAATCACAAATCCAGCATAGTCTATTTATGTGTACGGACGTTTGATTAAAATATAACTAATATAAATATCTTGAAAGTATAATTCTAATTCTAAACAGTTTAATTTTTTAAATGTTCCATAGGCATAGTTTTCAGTCTGTAATATAAACGTAAAAATCAAATTTGCCTAAATAATTTTAATGTTTTAACTATATATAATTTTAACTATATATAATTTTATAACACTGCATAACACACTAATGTCAAGGTACATAAGTATATAAATTTTCTTTTTTTTAATCGAAAGCGGTAGATTATTTTCCTTCTCAAATTTCAATTGTATTATTCCCATAAATTGCTTCATAATTACGACTCGTTATATATTTAATATTTACATATGAAAAAATGTTATAGCCTAAATGGAACCGTTTTAAAGGCAAATGGCAAAAGTTGATTCGAATTCATCGACATTACGTAAAAACTTTGTCGTTAATTGTCTCCTTAACAAAGAACACCACAAAAATATCAATAGGAGTATGCATATACATGAATATATGCAGACATGCATATGTAAAAACGCGCGCGCGCTTCCACGTACACTGGCACACGAACACTTAGGTATTGCATACACACACACACGCACACACACACACACACATATATATATATATATATATATATATATATATATGTGTGTGTTTATTTATAGCAACGCGAAACAAAGTTGCAATGACAAAGTATCACACTCAGAATGTATAGCTAAGTCTGACGTATTATGCTAAAGGAAGCTGAACGCGCGCGCGGGCCCTGCCATCATTAGGTTTAATAACCGCACCATCAGCTGTTAA